GACACAACAGATTCAAAAAATGTCATAACCCTAATGTACACTAGGGTGATGCTATTTTTTATTTTTTCATAAAACCTTTTCCTTAACATGAATAAATTTATTCTGAGAACAGTTTAATAAAAAATAATTCATAATTTAAAAATTTTATTAGGTCAAAAAATAAAAGTTACTTAATAAAAATAAGAAAAAAATACTTATCAGGATTACTTAAGTATAATAATCCTTAATTAAAGAATATTTATATAATAACATTTATTTTATAATCATCTAATGGCTGATAGAAAGAGCTGCGTATCCACCAGTCAAAAAATTATTAAACATCCTGCTAATAGGCAATTGATAATAAAAAACCTGGATCTTGATTATCTAGAGCAAGTATATGCAGAATCAAGCTCTAAAAATTATGACTCTGATGGTTTTAAGCCTTCGTTCAAACCACCCAAAAGGAAACTTAAATCTAAAGTAAGTAATAATACTTCTCAAAATAAAAATTATTACTTTTTTTGTAAATATATTTACTTTGTTTTTAATTAAAGGCAATGTCAGCTGCTGTGATGTGCGCAAAAGCTGGAATTTCTACCCGCGAAGGAGTTAGAGTAACTCGCTCATTAAGTTATTTCCATGATAATATTTCCACTTCACATCAATCTGCTATTTTTAGAGCTGGTAAAAGGTTGTAAGTCATAACTCTTTTTAAACTTAAGGCAGCTTTTTCAATTGAGACATCCTTTATTTTACATTTTGATGGGAAAGCTGTGGTACCATATGGTTGCGGCATTAAGAAAATAGAACGTATGGTCTTTGTTCTTCAGTCAGAGGGACCAATTTTTTTGTACCTCGGCCTTAAAATACTACATATTAGTGGAACTTCTAACAATTTAGCAGCTATGAAGAAGGAAACGTTGTTAGAGTATAATATTGTCGATAAAATATTCCTTATCATATTCGACACCTGCTCTGTCAATTTTGGTTCGTAAAGTTAATACCATTTTTTATTTATAAATATATATGATGCAATCAATATATAAATTTTGTTTTAGGTAGAACTTATAATGGTTCTGGTGGAATAATAGGCATTTTACGAACTGAGCTATTTCACAGACATATTCTGTATTATGGGTGTAATGCTCACATTTTAGACCTTGTTTAAAAAAAATGGTAATTTTCTATTTACCAACACCATCAAAATCAGCTGCTCTAACTGATTTTAAGTTTATAAAAAAACTAAAAGATAAGTACCCACAATTAAAAGAATTATATAATGTCCTGCATAAAACGCCTCATCCTCCTCCTTCTGTTAAAACTTGGATAGATGATTATAGACTATTAGCTAGGTTTGTTTCATTAAACTTTTTCTTTTTCAACATCAATTATATGTATGCATTATATATCCATATTATGAATGTATTTTTAACTTCAGGTTATGCATTGCTTTCAGACATTACTGTTATAATAATAATTTATCCAAACTAGAGCTACCAACAAAATTGCCATATTCTCACTCAGCAATGTGGAACAGCAAAGCAATTTATATCTTACTGGGCTGATCCCCGAAGAAAAGCCTAAAGCACCCTAAAGCAATCACCCTAAAGCAATCATTCTAGACATGACTTTGGTTCTCTTTTTTTGATCTAGTAATTATAACCAATATAGATGGCTGGAGTTTATTAGATACTAATATCAATTAGGTCCTGGATACCACTAAGTGTTTTTGAAATAAACTTTTATTATATTTCAATTTTGAAAAACCTTTGATACCTTTCAATTTTGAAAAACCATTATTAATTAAAGTCTTTTTTCTATGTCTCACCTTTAAATGTTGAAATATTTTAATATATAAACATTTTGTTGACATCTTGCCAGCAAGATGTCAACGAAATGTCAGATGTCAACAAAATGTCAGCTGCATATGAGAACCGTATTTTGACCGACTTACATTATTATCCATATAAATGAATATTTGAGACTGAGAGCTGTAACCGCCATCTCTTTCTAGTCTAAAATCTGAACTAAAATAGGTTCATCACAAATTATCTTTAGCAGTTTGTTATGTTTCAATATCATTGCAAGCTTTCTTAGAAAATGTAAACATATTTAAATTTGTTGCCGCTTTTAGTTTTTGCATGAACTATCCAAATTATTTGAGCTATTTTATAAAGATAGTAAATGTATGTTTTTATATTTTTAAAGGATTAAAAATTAGATTAAATATAAAAAGTTAAGACCTTATTTTCTCAAAATTCCAATTAAAAATGCTTTACTTACTTTACTTTGATATTATAGTCGAGAATTCAGAAAATAAAATTTAATTACGCAAAGAACTATTTTAACTTTAGTTAAAATAGTAGCTAAAGTTAAAATAGTAATGTTTGCATTTCCTTTCATTAACTTTTTAAATTTGACTGGTTAATTACGGAATCAATAAAATAATTTCTTACAAAGAGAATTTTATTTCGTTTTGAGGACCGTATTTTGAGGATCTAGCGAGTCAGTGGTCTAATGAACTGAATAATATATGCAAAATCTCCAATACGAAACCACAATTAGTTTATGCAACTTATGTTAAAGAATGTAAATCTAAATTCACTTAATTTTTAAGCACAATTGAAACTTTTGAAGAATTCGTAACATTAGTTGACAAATAAATATCAGAAAACTTATTAACCGCTTTGTTTAATATTTATTGTTCTATATTCTATGAGCACAAGGAATTATTGACGCTGAATCCATAGGAGGGAGGATTTTGATTTTGTTATTGAAGAATAAGTTAAGAAATAAAATTCTGCTTGCAGGAAAATAATTTATTGATTCCATAATTAACCAGTCAAATTTAAAAAGTTAATGAAAGGAAATACAAAAATAAAAAATTTCAAGAAAATTTAAAAGAGGTTAACATTATATACCCTAAACTCTCAGAAAATCTTAAACTAGGTGTTTTTTAGACCTATGGCAAAAGCGCGATTTGTTGGTTAAGCACTTTGGCAACTAAAGAAAAAAATTAGATCTGAAAAAAGAAGAGTTGTGATGTATTATGAATGTTGTAATGAGGATGAATGTAACAGTTGTCTACATAGAATAAAATATTCTTAAGAGTTTCTAGTTAGCTTCTAGCAAAACGTTATAAAAAAAAAAAAAGAGCAACAACAATAAATTTTAAAACTATCAAATTATTCAAATATTTTCATTTTGTTTTCTAAAGAATATTTTTAATGCAGATTTGCAGTTTTTAAACAGAAGATTCCCCACAAAGAAAATACTTTTACTTAAATAAAACTTTGATGAATTGTATGCGAAGCATCGCATCAGTATGTAAAGCATCACATCAGACCCTATTCGAGAGAATGCAAATTAGTGAAAACTTTGGGGGCCTATAAATATTAATGTTTTTATTTTTTTTAACAACGAATACAATAAAAACTGTATATCTTTTTTTGCAATATTTTTACGCAACTCTTTTATGTAAATGTAAAAATAATTTATAACATGCTGAAATGATTTATGCGTTAATAATAACGTAGATCTAAGATTTTTACTAAATTTTTACTAAACTTTGGAAAATAAAATTGTATTTTATTTCCTTTGGATTAATTTTTTTATTTTTTGTTATTTATTAAATTTTAAACTGCTTTTCGTTATAATATTTAAAGTTTTCAAGATAAAAATTAAATGAAAATAATCGTTAAGATGGCATTATATAATAAAAAACTTTTTAGCAAAAAGTTTAAACAATCTACAAACTTATTTCTATTAATAAACATAAAGAATATAAAAAAGCACACAATTTTTTTTTTTTTAATTAGATGTCATTATATATGCGCATAATTAGCGTTAATTTACCCCAAAAACTCTGTAATATTTCAAATAATACAACTAATTTGAATATTGTAAAAGCTGTTTGAAATTTTAGCAGAAAATTTTTAATGCATTTAGAATGTTGTCTATGAAACACAATTTTTTTAAAATTATTTCAATTTTACTAGGTTAACATTCAAACTTTAATATATATGAATTTCGGGACCAAGAAAGTGATAAAAAATTAGTTATTTTGAAATGAAAATTCAAATTCTGCTTCTTAGGTCACATTCCCAGTATCTTTAAACCTACAAAATTTCAGCCCATTAACTATTTCCAACCTAAAGTTGACTTTTCTGGAAAATTAAAATTTAGTGAGTCGTTTAAATGTTAAAACCAGTAAAAAAAATAAACAGTAATACATTGTAATTATATATCAAAAATTTAATATAGACAATAACCACACGCCTCTCTCTTTTTCACACTTTTCTTTATTACTAAACTCTTTTCTCATAGCTTTGAGCTTATATGCACTTTGGTTAATAAGGTATTTGGTTAATTTAGTTAATAAGAATTAAGGTAGTTGCTATGACGCCGGAATCATTCCGCTGTTCAAAAAAAGGGTAAACTTTAAAGTGGTAAAAAGGAAATTGTGATCTTTTTCTACATATTGAAAAGCGCATACCAAGTTAGATAGTTTTAAGAATCCAAAACAAGTATTTCAATATTTTTCAAAAAGCTATTTTTGCCCCTGGTGTGCCAGGTACCAGGTAATTAAAGATAATTTTGAAAAAAACGTTTTGCTTACCAAGTAACCTGAAAAACTACAAATATTGAACTTTTGTTCAATGCTCTTTGACAAATTGGCATATACCAAAATAAAAAAACATTTTTTAAATACTTTTTTTCAATAAGTTTTTCACACATAATTAAAAAAAAAAAGCAACACCCCTAGCAACCGTAATACCATTATTGTAATAAATTAAAATTAAATTAGGAGTAATTTTTAAGAGCTAAATTAAATCGATGCTAAATTTAAAGTTTGCGAGTTGAATGTAAAAGTTTTTAATCTTTATTGTTTTTATTTTAAAGGAATGATATCTTGATATTTTTTCAGAATATGTTAAAGTTTTATCAGGATTTAATCGCAGAAACTGTCGTGAATGCGTGTTTTTGTATTTTGAGACTTAAATAAAAAATTTTAAATATAAACAGTAAACCGTATTTTAATTTTTCAATCAGATATTCTACTGCTTATAAAAATTCATCTGATTCTTCTTCATCATCATGGTCATTATCGTAATGTTCTTCTTCAAAATCATTTTCACTATCATGTGAAGTATTTGGCAAGTTGTTTAAATTAAATTCAAACTTAAGAGGAATTTTGTTAACGAATTGATCGTTTTTCAAATCATTTACTTCGTTATTCTTTTTATCATTATTAACAAGCACGAGTTTCGAGCGTAGTTCTTGTAGCGAAATATTTTCGTCAGAGTCATAATTATATTGAAGACCGGTTGAAATTGGTTGAGTTGATTGTGCTATAAAAATATATATATTTATAAATTAGAAAAAAAAACTAACAATAAAATTTTAACGTAATTTTTTTGTTTTTTTAGTTATATCCAACTTAAGCACTTTTGAATACTTTTGATTTAACCCACCTCTTTTCCCTGAGCGCGCTTAGGGTAAGCAGTAAACAGCTGTAGAGTGATTTGAATTATTGTAATTATAGTATCAATATTTAGTACAGATTACTGATCAATTAATTCATAATTAATTCTTATAAATACTGAAAGGTATACAGTCGTATGAGTATATTATGAATTTAAAATTTTGCAAAACGTCTTATTATTTTATTACAGGGTAATAAAATAATAAGAATAAAAAAAACATTAATATAAATAACATTTTATTTACATATTTCTATAAATAACTAAATAATTGGAAACATAAGGGAATGTAGGGATTTTAAATTTAAAATAACTAGGGACAATTAAAAATCTCGAAAACTATACATCTCATGACAAAACAATATAAGAATATTGTTTAAACTAATATATAAATATAATTTGAATTGGTTGAAGGTTAGGGACTAAAAATTATGAAACATTGCGCAAAAAAATACTTGCTGGACAGCATTCAAGTGAAATAAAAAGTTGCATTTTAATATTTGCTATAAAAGAGTTAAAAATATTTTTTTCTTAGATCTTAAAGAAAAACTTTTTTTTTTATTTATTTATTGGAGTTTCGGTTATATTTAGTTTTTCGAATCTTTTAACTCATACCTTTCTCTTTATAACTTTGTCACCTTCTTGTTAAGATAACCTTGTTAACCTTGTGTTAAATTTAAAAAAATTTTTAAAAATGTCACCTTTTTAAGTTGAACAAAAAAAAAAAAGATAAAATTTTCCCAGAAATGAATTACTTAAGGATAAAGGGGGCATCCATCAGGTATGTAAGCAGTAAAATCACTGATTTAGGACCTCTCCCCTTTGTACACACTTGTATTCTTCCAACATCCCCCTTCTATGTACATACGCATTATTTATTACAAAATTATCTTCCTTTCTCCAAAGAAAACATTTTTTTTAACATTAAAAAACAAAATTATTTTCCTTTTTTCTTTTAACTATTCATATAGAAATTTAAAAAACAGTTGTGACGGAGAAGTCAGAAAAAAAGTATAATAATGATTTTTAACACTTGTAAAATTTAGGAGAGATAATCAAATCGCATTCGTACTTACTGTATTAAATGCAGTGAGTACATCCCCTTCCCTTGTACGCATTCATACATTTTTGGGTAAGCCCCCTTCCCGCATACTTGTGTATGTACTATAAAAAAAACCTGAGGAATAAACAAACTGATACAAGTTACTCTCTGACAATCAATATCAACTTTGATCTCTTGTGAGTCCAACAACTAACTCGCTGACATATTTCGATCCTCTTGTTCTACAACTGATTTAGCTGTTATAACAGAATGATTCTATTGTGTATTAGATGAAGGCAAGGAGGCAAGGGTTATTGCTTTTAATAAAAAAGTCTGGTATTCTGGTTTTCTCTATAAGCTTGCTTCATATAGTGTATCTGGAACAATTTTTGAGATTAAATCATTCTTTGCTGACAACAATATTTTTGGCTTTATTTGTTGACATCACAACTATATACTCCATTCTTAATTTACTTTAGATAAAAGCAACCACTTTTCGATTGCAAAGAACAGACAACTGATCTTGAAAATAATCTCTTTTCAGTGACAGCTTGGAGCTTGCAGTGGCTTGTGAATTTTAACCCAAACAAAACTCAATTGTTTACTGCAAATAATTATTCCAATGTTGTTGATATTCCTTTATTGATGAATGACAACACTTTTACTCCTCTACTTTATTGATGAATGATAACACTTTTACTCCTCTACTTTATTGATGAATGACAACACTTTTACTCTTCTACTTTATTGATGAATGACAACACTTTTACTCCTCTACTTTATTGATGAATGATAACACTTTTACTCTTCTACTTTATTGATGAATGACAACACTTTTACTCTTCTACTTTATTGATGAATGACAACACTTTTACTCCTCTACTTTATTGATGAATGACAACACTTTTACTCTTCTACTTTATTGATGAATGACAACACTTTTACTCTTCTACTTTATTGATGAATGACAACACTTTTACTCCTCTACTTTATTGATGAATGACAACACTTTTACTCCTCTACTTTATTGATGAATGACAACACTTTTACTCTTCTACTTTATTGATGAATGACAACACTTTTACTCTTCTACTTTATTGATGAATGACAACACTTTTACTCTTCTACTTTATTGATGAATGACAACACTTTTACTCCTCTACTTTATTGATGAATGACAACACTTTTACTCCTCTACTTTATTGATGAATGACAACACTTTTACTCTTCTACTTTATTGATGAATGACAACACTTTTACTCCTCTACTTTATTGATGAATGACAACACTTTTACTCTTCTACTTTATTGATGAATGACAACACTTTTACTCCTCTACTTTATTGATGAATGACAACACTTTTACTCCTCTACTTTATTGATGAATGACAACACTTTTACTCTTCTACTTTATTGACGAATGACAACACTTTTACTCTTCTACTTTATTGATGAATGACAACACTTTTACTCCTCTACTTTATTGATGAATGACAACACTTTTACTCCTCTACTTTATTGATGAATGACAACACTTTTACTCTTCTACTTTATTGATGAATGACAACACTTTTACTCCTCTACTTTATTGATGAATGACAACACTTTTACTCCTCTACTTTATTGATGAATGACAACACTTTTACTCCTCTACTTTATTGATGAATGACAACACTTGTACTCCTCTACTTTATTGATGAATGATAACACTTTTACTCCTCTACTTTATTGATGAATGACAACACTTTTACTCTTCTACTTTATTGATGAATGACAACACTTTTACTCCTCTACTTTATTGATGAATGACAACACTTTTACTCCTCTACTTTATTGATGAATGACAACACTTTTACTCCTCTACTTTATTGATGAATGACAACACTTTTACTCCTCTACTTTATTGATGAATGACAACACTTTTACTCCTCTACTTTATTGATGAATGACAACACTTTTACTCCTCTACTTTATTGATGAATGATAACACTTTTACTCCTCTACTTTATTGATGAATGACAACACTTTTACTCCTCTACTTTATTGATGAATGATAACACTTTTACTCCTCTACTTTATTGATGAATGACAACACTTTTACTCTTCTACTTTATTGATGAATGACAACACTTTTACTCCTCTACTTTATTGATGAATGACAACACTTTTACTCCTCTACTTTATTGATGAATGACAACACTTTTACTCCTCTACTTTATTGATGAATGACAACACTTTTACTCCTCTACTTTATTGATGAATGACAACACTTTTACTCCTCTACTTTATTGATGAATGACAACACTTTTACTCCTCTACTTTATTGATGAATGACAACACTTTTACTCCTCTACTTTATTGATGAATGATAACACTTTTACTCCTCTACTTTATTGATGAATGACAACACTTTTACTCTTCTACTTTATTGATGAATGACAACACTTTTACTCTTCTACTTTATTGATGAATGACAACACTTTTACTCCTCTACTTTATTGATGAATGACAACACTTTTACTCTTCTACTTTATTGATGAATGACAACACTTTTACTCTTCTACTTTATTGATGAATGACAACACTTTTACTCCTCTACTTTATGCCTTCTTGGATTATCTTTCACTAATGACATCTCATGTAAACTATATACATACTTTTATAAAATTATATAAATTATTTTGCTATCTTTATAATTATATAAATTATTTTGTTATATTAATTCTTTATAATTATATAAATTATTTTGCTATCTCATTTATTAATAATCACATAAGTAACTATTTATGATATTAATAAAACAAGGTATTTACATCAGTTTTAAATTTTATATAATTGTAACTATTTAATAAATATTAAATTAACTTTTTATGTATCTTTATTATTTATCTTCATGCTAAAAAAAAAACATTAAAAAGAGTGACTTCCTTGGCTGAAACTATAACTTCCTTTTAGCAAGCAAGTGTTAAAAATACTGTTTGAAATGTATTTAAAACAATTTATCTAAATATTTAAAAAAACAGAATAAAAAACTAAACTTTATATGCAAATAGGAGGTACTGTTTTAAAATGGCAACTCAAATAGAAGGTAATGTTTTAAAATGGCAACTAAAATAGGAGGTAATGTTTTAAAATGGCAACTCAAATAGAAGGTAATGTTTTAAAATGACAACTTAAATAGGAGGTAATGTTTTAAAATGGCAACTCAAATAGGAGGTAATGTTTTAAAATGGCAACTCAAATAGGAGGTAATGTTTTAAAATGGCAAATTAAATAGAAGGTAATGTTTTAAAAAGGCAACTCAAATAGAAAGTAACGTTTTAAAATGGCAACTCAAATGGTGGAAGTAACCACAGAAGTCAAAGAAAAATAAATACTGCATGCAAAACATTAATAGTTTCTCAATGTAATTTACAATACTCATGAAAAAAATCTAAAAAAGAAGCATGAAATATGCTGTAGATATAGTAATTAAACAAGGTATTCTGTTCAAAAAATGGTTAATCATCAAATAAATGGTGATCTCTAGTGAAAAAAAGACATTTATATTTTTGACTATGAGTTCTTAAGAAGTGAAGATGTTTTAAGCTCATTGACTATGAATGGCGTCAATTAAATAAATAAGACTACTTCAAAAGTATACATGAACAAAACTGGATCCATTGCCAAAGTTGCAAGCAGTCACATGTAAATCACAAGTTGCTCATTACTATATTTGCATTAATTTTCATTGAAGACTAATCTTAATTTATCTGTAAGTTACATATTTCATTATGTATCTTTTAACTTTATCTTTTGTCTCAGAATTTTTTTAATATTTTAAAGAT